ATGAGTTTAAGGTCCCTCCCAACCCCAGCCTGTATGGGATTCTGTGGGAGGGCTCCTGAACACCTGGTTTTCCTGAATGGATTCTTTATCTGATCACAAATCTTTCCTGGACATGACCTGGAGACCCCAGCTGTCTGAGCCTGCTGCCTGGGACCCCTGCGGAACAGGGCTGTCCATCCTGCTGTGTGTGCCCCCAGTGGGGCTGTCTGTCCATCCTGCTGTGTGTGCCCCCAGTGGGGCTGTCTGTCCATCCTGCTCTGTGTGTCCCCAGTGGGGCTGTCTGTCCATCCTGCTCTGTCTGTCCATCCTGCTGTGTGTGCCTCCAGTGGGGCTGTCTGTCCATCCTGCTGTGTGTGTCCCCAGTGGGGCTGTCTGTCCATCCTGCTGTGTGTGCCTCCAGTGGGGCTGTCTGTCCATCCTGCTGTGTGTGTCCCCAGTGGGGCTGTCTGTCCATCCTGCTCTGTGGGCCCCCAGTGCCACAGCGATGAGTGCACCCCCAGCCCTGCCCAGCAGTCGCAGCCCTTCCAGCCCCAGCCAAACCAGCAGCCGGTCCCAGAACTGCTGGGAACAGCCCGAGGGAGCAGAGCCGCTGGGAATCACTGCCAGCCCTGGCCCTTGGAAGGAGGCAACCTGCAATCCCACAGGAAGGCTCCTCAGAGCTGTGTCACCACAAAGGTCCCGGCTGGGCTGCTGCTGTCCCCACAGCAGGGACAGCCGGAGCCGCGGTGACCGGGAGCAGAGGCTCCAGGGAGGATTTTTCCACTCCAAGGGATATTCTGGGTGCTAGATCAATAACCATGTGTTGACCTTGGAAAGCCTGGGCTGAGTCTGGAGGGCAGGGCAACGTGGACAGCACAGGATTGTTTTTGTTTCTTTAAACAGAAGCAGCTGAGGATTCTACCCACGACATTTCATTGACCGAAGTGGCCACGGATGGAGCCCTGTGAAAACAGGGATGCAGAGCTTTGTACAAACATGGACACAGACCCAGAGCTCATCGGGAGCCACTGGAGCACCAGACCCAGAACCTGACCACTTCCCTGGCTCTTCACACACTGGCCCTGTCCAGACTGTGCCCTCTCTTTTTCAGATGGAGCTCCAAAACCACCAGGCTAATAAAAATACAGTTCCCAAGCACACGACTGCTGCTCTTTTCTGGTTTTATTACGTAATATCCCTTTATTGGAGTAGTTGTTGGGCCAACAGCTGCTCTACTGGAAATTTTGTTTGTTTGATATCATTAGAGGTTGTTTATCATGGCCTGTATTGGTCTTCTAAATGGATTAAAAGCCTGCACAAGGCAGAGGAACAACATCAGGTGGAATAAAGTCAACATAATTCATGCCATTAAAAATCTGGCTCAAAATGCTGATGATTGGATTTATTCAACAAGAGCAGCCAAAACTTTACTGTTATCATGAGTGTGGTTTTATACATCTGTAATTTCTGTCTGCCAGGAGGGATAAGGAGCAGAAGTATTTTAACAGGAAGAGCAGCAGAACTTCTGAGCATTTCAGCTTTAAATAACTCGGGAACAACTCTGGGAAGGAATAATTTTGTAGCTGGAACTCCAAAATTATTATTACTATAATTCCAGGTTGTGCTGCAGCGGCGTTTCTGTGAAATCCAGCTTGCTCCATTTCACCTCGGGGTCATTTGTCTGCTTCCCTGCAACTCAGGGGCTATTCCAGAATCCCAGACTGGTTTGGGAATGGAGGGAGCTTAAATCCCTCCCAGTGCCATGGCAGGGACACCTCCCACTGTCCCAGGCTGCTCCCAGCCCAATGTCCAGCGATCCAGGGCAGCCCCAGCTGCTGTGGACACCCTGTGCCAGGAATTCCTTCCAACATCCCCTGTAACCCTGCCCTCTGGGAAGCCGTTCCCTGAGTCCCGTCAGCGCAGGCTCCAAAGCCAACAGGTCAGTGTGAACTGGGAACCAGCAACGCCACCCTGGAGCGGGGTGCTCTCCCAGGTGCTCCCTTGGAAAAAGGGAGCAATTCCTGCCCTGCCTGCTCTCCTCCCTCCTTCCCAAGGCAGCAGAGAGCCAGACGTGCAGGACACTGCAAGGAGCCCTCCAGAGCACAGCCACATGTCAGAGCTTTCCCTCTGCCCCTAAATCACATTTGATTTTGTCGTTTCCATCAACAGATCAGCTCTAAAAATACCGTGTGTGGCGAGGGCGCTGTTTACCTCGCAGCAGCAGCTGCCAGGATCCATTAGTTCTCAGTTACAAAACTCAGATGTCTTTAAAAAAAACACAGAAACAAAAAAACCTCCTCTGAAAAGTGCCAGATTTCCATTTCAGCTGTTTCTTACAACTGCTGAGTGCTGCAGCTACGGGTTAAATGATTGCTACAAGCTGGCTTTCACTGAAAAGGCATTTGCATTCTCTGTGCTCACTTCTCCAGAAGTCTGGTCTCTAACTCCTGACCTGCACCTCAGGGGTGTACAGAACAAGTTGGGGAGCACGTAAATGGAGGTTTATGTATAAAAATGGAGGTGTATTTGTGAAAATACCCCCGCAGCCATGAGTCTGGATTGTGAGCACCCCACAGAAGAAGTTCCGCACCTCCAAGCGTTGCTGCTGGCGCAGAGGGAAGGGAAGTGCTGCTGAAACCCCTCGTGCCTGTGGCTTGACTCCTGCCTCTGAAACCACAGAAATGCCCAGGGCACCAAACCACCAAGCGGAATCCCTGCTTCCTCACTGGTTTACCTGGTTATGAGGGAGCAGGAAACGCTTTCCCCACCTCAGGGCTCTCCTCTCATGCTGCAAGGCTGGTGGAACCCTCAGGGGTGACAGGACATGAAGAAAACTCCTCCAGCCAGAAAGCACCTTTCACATAACCTCAGCATTTCCTCAACCAGCTTCAGCCCATCCTGCTCAGAGGGCCCAAGAACAAATTCTCCTAAAATCCTACTAGTCCTTGATAGAATAACCCAGCCTTTTGGGATTCCAGACCCCGGGTGTGCCCTGGTCCCACTCAGCAGAGATGTGCATTCTGCCTCCCCCACTCCTACATCACGAGGAGGGCTTCTTAAGGAAGGAATAATAAAACAGTGGAAAGCAATGCAATGTTCCTTCAAGAGCAGGCCGGACAAGCCCTGAAGGCTGCTGTAAATCAAACACAGCGGGCTGCCAGCCACAAGGCACTCACAAGTCACGGCTTGTGCGCTTTCCCATAAAACACTGACAGCAGTTTTGCTGCAAGGTGGGAGCAAACAAAAAACCTAAATCCCATCCGGCTGCAGCGTCCTGCTCCCAGAGCCTCTGCCACATCCCCCTTTTCTCTCTGCACAAGAAGCTGGTTCTTCTCCTTTTGTCTCCGGTTCCTGCAGCTGGTTTCCCTGCATTGGGCTCTCCTCTGGGGCCTCTCCCAGCTCCTCTGCAACACCCGTCCCACGCTCTGCACCCCTGTCCCTGCTGTCCTCCCGAGGGGCTGTCCATGGATGTCCCCGGAGCCTCCCCGTGCCGCTCCCGCCCCCGAGGACGCGGAGGGCAGCCCCGGTAGGGGCTCACCTACCAGCAGCGGTGCCCAGCAGGCCGAGAGCACGCACATGATGCCCAGCAGCTGCAGCAGCGTCTCGGTGGCGATGCGGCCCCAGCGCGAGCCGGGCTGAGGCGCGCCGGCCTTGGCTCGGCAGCGCGACACCAGCGCCTCGATGGTGGCCAGGTTGCAGGCGCCGGTCACCACGAGGGACAGCAGCCCCAGCGCGGCGAAGGCGGCGGCGAAGGCGCTGCCGCCGGCCGTGCTGATGAAGCACCAGGTGCCGGGCCACTGCAGCGCGTAGCGGCCCAGCCCGGCCAGCGGCAGCAGCGCGAAGGCCACGCCGGCGGCCCAGATGGCGGCCAGGCCGCGCTCGGTGGCCCGCGGGCTCATGTGGCTGGCGTACCAGTGCGGGGCGCGGATGGCCAGCGCCCGCTCCACCGCCATGGCGCTGGCGATCAGCAGCGGGCACAGCCCGAACACCGTCATGCTGAAGCCGAAGAAGTCGCAGAGGCGGCCCGAGGGGTCCATGGCCGCCCAGGGCCGGCCCGACAGGTACACGGAGATGACGATGGGGCTGGTGAGCAGCTGGCCCAGCATGTCGGTGAGCGCCAGGGAGCCGATGCACAGCAGGAAGGAGCGCTTCCTGCGGCTGCCCTTGGCGCGGTAGCTGCGGGACACGAGCAGCATGGCCAGCGCATTGCCCGCGACGCCCGTCAGCATCATGGTCAGCGGGATGGCCACGGACACGGCGCTGCCGCGCTCCGCCCGGCCCGTGCCGTTCCCCCGCGGGCCCGGCCCGCCGGCCGCGCTGCCGTTGGGCGGGCGCTGCTGCCACGGGCTCATCCCGGAGCCGGCAGAGCCCGCATGGAGCGGGCACGGAGCGGGCACGGAGCCGGCAGAGTCCGCGGGCAGCGAGCACGGAGCGGGCACGGAGTCGGTAGCGCCGCGCCGCCGCTTTATGTGAGGGAGGGACGGGCGGGACCCGCCCCGGGGCGGAGCGGGAGCGAAAGCGGGCAGAGCCCGTGGGAAGGGATCGGGAGCCGGGCTGGGCAGGGAGCGAGCCAGCTGGGCAGGGGCTGCAGAATCCCTGAGGAGCCGGGCAGGGGCTGCAGAATCCCTGAGGGAGCTGGGCAGGGGCTCAGCCTGGAGCAAAGCAGGCTCAGGGGCCCTTTGGCTCTGCACAGCTCCTGCCAGGAGGGGTTTGGGATCTGCTCCAGGGAACAGGGACAGGAGCAGAGGGAACGGCCTCAGGCTGGGCCAGGGCAGCTCAGGGTGGATTTTGGGAATGGTTCTTCACCCAAAGGGTGCTGGGCACGGCTCCAAAGCTGCCAGAGCTCCGGGAGAGTTTGGACGCTTCCAGGGATGTCCAGGGTGGGATTGTTGGGGGGGGTCTGGATCAATGATCGCTGTGGGTCCCATCCAGCCCAAGATATTCCAGTCGTGGAAGTTTTATTAAGTCTTTTGCTGTTGAAATTAAAAATTATTTTTAAGACTTAAAGGATTGCAACGATGTGACCGTGTGGGAGCTGTGGGCCAGGTGAGCTGACTCACAGGATCAGGGTCAGCGCAGGTGACAGGGACCAGGGTCAGTGAAGGTGACAGGGAACCAGGGTTGGTGGAGGTGACAGGGAGCAGGGTCAGTGAAGGTGACAGGGAAGTCTGAGTGTCCCCGAGACAAAGCACTCGAGCAGTTGACTCACAGGTTTTATTTACACTTGTCTACAGCATCATTTTGCCTTACATGTTCTCTAAGCCAAATGAACCATCCTCCTCCTCCTTTGCCTGTGGCCTATCAGTTGCTAACTTTAAAACCTCCCATCTGTTAAGTACAGCAACAATTGGAATACAAAGCACAAGAAAACCCAAGGCTAACAACAGAGCGTCTACTTGATCTGGTTTTACAGTTTAGTTGGACGTTGAAGTCAGAGGCACAGTTACAGACTAACCTGCTCTTGTGCAACCTACACACATTTAGCATGGAAATCAGAGAGAAAAGAAAGCATTAAGGAAGGAACTGCATTTTTTCTGCAAAGAGATTTATCAAAATACCTCTACACCAAAAACATTTTGCTTCTAGACCAGTCCAAAAGACATGGCTCAAAAAAAAAGAAAAAAAAGAGAAAAATAAAGCAGAATGGAGTTTTTCGATTTTGCTCCGTTTGTTTCTGTGCAGTTTATCAAAACAAGCAGCAAATCTGGCAGTTTTATTACTGAAATAAATGAAGGTATATTGCTCTTTGCTTGTTTAAGAAGAAGAGTTTTCCTTACCATACTTACCTTGTGATGGCACTGAAGAAACTTAAACCTTTCTTAACCAAACGGAGCTCAAGAGAGACCAAGTTTTGTACTCAAATGGATTCCATAAAGCATTTTAAGCCATAAATTATGTTGAAGGGAAAAAGAATGATCGATGAAGAAGACGTTGAAGATGCCAGAACTTTCTACACAGTTTATTCATTCTCATTTTTAAAGAAAAATAAAAATAAGATACCTTGAAAATTTTAGTCAGCCCCAAAGGAAATTTTACAGGCGGCCTGCAGAAGCTTCCCTTGATTCCAAGGAGCCAGTTCCACACTCCTCCAGCCCAAGAGCGGATCCCAACCGCTCCGTTTGGAAGGAGGGATCCCGGAGTCCGGGCTCTGGAAACCACCACAGCCACAGCACTGTGCTGGCTGCAAACGTCCTCCCTCGCCAGGAATGAGGCTAATTCCCTCTGGAATCATGATGGACCGGGGGGGTTTGAGCTGCTAGACAGGGGTGTCCATCTGCACTGGCACTGCTACGTGGCAAAACAAAAACTGCTCAGCCCGAGGCCCCACTGCTGGCCCAGGCCCCCAGCCCTGCCCCTGCTGTGGTCCCACGGGAGCTCCATCCTGCTCTGCAAAACTCACGGCCTCTCCTGGCACAGAGAGCTGTGCCAGGCGTTCCCAGCCTGCTCCTCCAGCTGAGGGAGCCAGCAACGGAGGAACTGATCTCGAAAAATAACAAAACCCCCCCACACCACAGAACTTCCCCCTGTGCCGGGGAGTTTATGGCTTAAAATGCTACTGCGGGTTTGGGTGATGGATGAACAAAGCTGCAGTTTGCCAGAAAGCCAGGACAGACATGCACCTCTACTAGCAGATTGAGCACTTCTGACCAAGTAAGACACCAACTTCTTAAAAATGTCTCATGCACTGACTGGAATTTTGGTGGGTTTTTGTAAGTGTGAGCTTTTACACATTATTTCTTTTTAGAACTCGTACGGGAACCAGAATGGGAGGATCCGGAGGAAGATCTGCGGCGTCTGCAAGATACAAATGGAGAAAGCATGCACAGAAATGAGCTCAGATTCATCCTGGCACCCACTCTGAGCAGCATCCTACCATAGCTGGAAGCCAAGTATATCTCATGGGGGCCTTACAAGAATATACAAGTAACTTTAAGCATCTAATTTAACACTAAAAGTCTAAGTTTAATATTGAGAGTAGAATACAGTTTCTATTGCAATGCAGTATTTACTTAAGAAAATAATTCAATAATGAACACATTACTACTGTCACACACTGAAAGAAGGGTGAGCCAGGTCTTTATGCAGAACATGCTACTACCAGAAGGACTTTCATTGGAGGGGGAAAATTATTTAAAAAAAACAATTACAGAGGGGTTAACAAAAGTAAGAGTAGGGCAAGTGAGGAAACTACTTTTACTATGAGAATAACTGCTCGGATTCAATAGCTTCCCAGTGAACCTCAGTCCTTGGATAACTACAATAAACCATCACACATGTCAATACAGCCATTCTTATTCTACATAAACCCAAACCTTTCGGGTGACCGTGATCTCGAGCGCCTTTTTTTGCGATCACCAGAGGAAGAGGATCTAGAGCGGCTTCGCTTCTTGCCTCTCTCGGGGGAAGACGAGGAGCGAGAGCTGGAGCCAGATCTTTTCCTTGGGGTGGAAGACCCCCTGTAGGACCTGGAGCTGGATCTTTATTGATTGAGAAATAAACCACATTTAATTCTGGGGCCATGGAGAAGGCACAAAGACAGAACAAGCAGAGACAGTTTTCGTCAACATTCACTACTCTGTTTTCTCCAAGGGTATGGAAAATAAACATGAGAGGCTTCCATACTTACTCTGCCAAGAACACTGCTACTGCCAGGGCAGCTTGCCTAAGAAATTCTGCTAAGTAGTGTTTCCTGGTAAATGGACCACCAATGGTTTGGAAAGCTCTCCCCAGCCTTCACCAAAATGAGCCATTTTGGGAAAACAGCACTGGAAAGCTGCTGGGAAGTGCCTCTGAAAGGACCTTCCTCAGCAGTTAAATGCACACATCAGAATAACCTGGAAACCAGAGATCTAAAGCTGATTTACTATGGTTCACTTTATCCTAATGGACATTTCACACTGCATGTTCATCTGACCAAAGAGTAACAAATCCAGCTGTTATATTTACAGATCTCAAACGACATTTGTGAAGAGACTAAAACCTTCCTCAACCAAAATGCTATAAAAAGCCTCTCAGAACAGAGCCATAATATATAAAAACATCTCTTGGAACACAGTACCCCTCTGGTGGGGCACAGGGACACCTTTCCTCTTCCCAAAAGCACGGATTCCATCCTGTGCTGACCCTCACGGGATAATCCACAGCACGTCCCTGCTCCCAAGGGGTGATGGCACCATTTGTGACTGTCCTTCCCAACCTCATTTCGAATTTTGGGATTCTCTGCATGCATGGAGAGAAGGGACAGCCCTTCATTCCGTCACAGAGGCAATGTTCTGCCAATGGAATGGACCTCAAACACGCTTTTGTTCCTGTGCCCTGCCCAGCTCAGTGATGCTCTACACAAATCACTCTGACTGCTCTCAGCCTCTCCCACCATTTCCTACCAACACGTTCCTGTGATCCCCCAGGTTTATACAGGAACGGCTGTCCTGTCTCACGGAAGATGCAGAATTCTCACTGAACACAAAACCAGAAGGACAGTGGCATTTCTAACGCTCCTCCAGCTCAAGCAGCCCCAGTGGAAAGAGGAAAAGCACCCAAATGCCTGCAGCAGGGAACCATGCACTGAAATCCTTCTTCCTCCACTGCAGCTCGGTGGCGTCCGCTCGTCCGGCTTAGGCCGGACTTAACCTCTCGCACCAAAACCTCTGCTCCTCAGTGAACTCAGCTGTGGTGGCAACACCCGGTGCAGAGACCCAGCAGGGCTGACTTCCAAGACAAAAAGCAGTTAATGTTTGTCTGAGCAGCACAGCCTTACGGTGGGGCCAGAGCAGCTGCAGCCTGCGCCCTGTGTCTGTGCAGGGACAGGCTGGTACCTCATTCACCTGGATTTGGACCCACGGGACCGCGACTGTTCCCTGGAGCTGGAGCGGGATCTCGATCTGGAACTGGAAGAACTCCTGGAATGGGACCTGCAACAACACGGGAGATCTTTTTCCAGTGTCTGACTTGCATTTAGCAGTTACTGCTCCTGAGAGCAGCAGACACGAGGCAGCAGCACAGTCTGAGTCTGAAAATGCCAATCCCCTCCTGCCCCCAGCATCACCACAGCACACCATAAACCAGACACTTCTACACGGCATTAAAAACATGACAAAGGCAGCTTTAGATTATGGCTCCTAAAACAAAGCACAACAATTAAACAGGATTGCAGTTATCTGGCAAAAAGAAATAACTTCCTATCTGTTCATTATTTAATGAAATCAATGTTTTAATTTGTGCCTTAACTGGAAACCCATCAGTTTCCTTCAGAGGCAGAGCAGATGATAGCATTAGGATTGGGCAGCTAAATTTCCCCCAGCCAGTTCTCACAAGCACTTTGTAATAATCTTCCAATTTTCATAAAGATTTTCCCCTGCATTATAAATTAAGTGGTTAAT